CCATTGGTGACTGTTCATTCTAAAAACATTTTTCAACACCAATAGGATCAGTGATCAAATATCGCCCATAGTATTATCTGGATAGTTCAGCCTATTTGCATCTCACAAGGTCTTCCAATTGGGATCCATTTTTCTTAGCACAGGATGTGCAAATTGGTTGAGGGGAAGTATAAAGCCACATTCAAGTTTGTCTTGACGTTGTAACCCCAGACCTTGATAGGAGATTTAAAAGGATTGCCGCGCCTGCAGTTATCTCGAAAAAGATAGGCAGTAACTGCAGAAAATAAAGACGAATTTCGGGAACACAGGCGATCTTCCTGTACTAACTATTCACACCAGATTTTTAACAGTAATTGACCATGTTCATCATAAAACGCCATGCTTCGAGATGTTATTTGTAATGAAGAGCTTAAACGGGCAAGCTGCACCTAAGAACTTTTTCGTCGTAGGCAGAACTTGATCGTAATCTCTGATGGAACTGTCATCATTTGTGGCGCAATCATATGTTCTATCTGCAATGAGTATTTCATTTAGACTTATGGTGCCAATCCTGGAGGGCGACTTGATCCCGAGCTGATTATGAATGACTGGATTAAACACCAAACGGTTGAATTCAGACTTAGTGGCATGTACCGAAATACCCGTTTCAATCGGCCATCACGCTCTCCAGGCCTTGACAACTTCCTGCCAATTCTAGTCAAACACGGAGGAACAGACATCCAACTGTTAGTTGTTAACGTTTTTACACTTTTCATTGAAACAACTACTACGACTACCCAAATGCGGTTCTGTGCAAGATGTAAACAAGTGCAGCCCAATCCACCGCGCACCCAGTATCTCCAGAATCTTGGAGCGGCTAGTTAAATAGTACACAATAGAAAACATGGGTTCCATGAGCTTTAGCGATAAATATCGGCACGGTTTATGAAAAGGCAGGTCATGCACTTGTCAGTTGGATCACTTGGTTTACGTAATTATAACAACCGACGTCAGAAATAGTGTCATTGTGATATTTCTTGGTATCCAAGTGGCTTTTGACCGTATCCCACACAAAATATTGCTAAGGAAGCTTTGCAACTACATTATCTCAAATTAACTTCTAAATTGGCTATATTCCTACCTCATGAGTAGAAGCAAGTAGTAACACGTGGTAACTCTAATTCTGAGGATACTTTAATATATAATAGAGTGGTTCAAGTTAGCGTACTTCTTCCGCTTTAGTCTTTCATCTACCACGAAGGTCTTCCTGATGATATAACATTCAAGAAGCTGTTCCTCCCTGCTAATGACGTAATAACTGCACATTTTGCGCCTCTGAGCAAGGTAGTCCTAATTTTGCATGTATTCTTTCTAATTTGTAGGCGCTGGCGTAACACCTGGAAGCTGCACTTTGCCACAGAGAAGTGTAATCTATTATGCCAATGCCGTAACACTTCTTCGAGCATACTACCCCTAAATATACTTCAATGCTTGTGCATGGCGCAGTCCGAGAATTGCTTTAACATACTTCCCTCATTTAAATTGCTGGAGTGCCATATACTTCCACGCATTTCCCAGAATAACGATCGCCTACATAAGCTGTACTCTTATTTTGAGAGGTTTCAGGCTTCAAGCCTTTCAAATGTATTCTGCCAAAACTTGAATAATGTACAAAATTGTACGAAAATCTAAGAAAAGGGGGTATTATAGCACTTGTAAATATCCGGCGATCATTCGGAGAAAGATATATAAATATACTAACACTGGAATAATCATGAGTACCTCTATGCTCTAAAATTGGAGTCGACTGGACCTTAACTTACTCAATGCTTTCTCTACCGCTTATTAATCTGATTAAGATTTACAGAACAGCTACAACTTTTTCAGACTCCCAAACGCTATGAAATAAAAGGCGAACGCATACTGCATACGCAAAAGTCTCAAACCAAGCTCTGCTAAAAGATTTTTGCAGTAAAATAGACGTTACTTTGGAATAAACTTCCATCCAATTTCAAAAACTCTGCCATCTGTCCATATTTCAAATGAATAATTAATGTTGAGTGGAATTTTTTGAAAATCTTGTGCACACTTGCCATCATAAGATTCTAGATGATTTGTTTGAAAAGGACATGGATACACATAAAAGTCGCCATATTCCCTTGTTATCACGAATGCTATAATATTACCTACGCATGGATGAAGTCCTCGGTATGTAGTTACCATTGACCGCATTCTTACGAACTATTTTCCCTTGCGACCACTATGAAGTTTATCCATTTCGTCTAACCAATACTGTTTACTCTCCGTAGATGCGCCGGTGTGGAGATAACTACGGATTTTATGCTTAACCTCATGCTGTGTCTATTATCGTTAACCATTTGACATGTATCCAGTTGGATCAACCTGTCAAAAGAAACCATCGAACAAAATATCAACATTCAACCTATTCAGTACATCAGTTTCTTCGCATTTTTGTGGTCTAGAACTTTTCCATCCATAAGAAACCTTCCTCCAGAAATGTCATATTCACTAACAACCTGAAGGTCAACTTGTAAACATTGAGCACAAAAACCGATACATTGACTGCCTGTAATGTCGCAAAACACAATGTTACTTCAGTGCTTTCGATGTTATTTATACCTTTGTATCGTTTGTTTTTTCCTTTATTGCTCACGACAGAGCCAAACTTCTGAGGTGGTGGTTTGATGCTTCCAAGCTGAATGTCTTCACTTGCAAGGCCGATGACCAAAGACCCATTGATGACTATTACAATCGTGTGCTTGACCTAATAAAGCAAACTGTAGTACATATTGTGTCATATAGCGTCAAATCAGGTAAATTCGGTAATCAAATCTACCAAAATGTATGATTGATGAACAGACTGACAGGCTCCACTAGCCAGCTTAAAAATGGTCTGAATGAATTGTAAAATCGATTACGACTAACCTGCTTTACGCAACGCCAGCGCATAACAAGATTGGGTGCAGAGTTGCGAACAAACCTCTGGAGGAACTACATCGCAAGGAAGTGGGTCCAAAGGAGATGGCGCGACGGATGACCTGATTACTTAACATTATCTTTCTTACTTCATTTTTCTTGACTTGAATCTGTTAAGCCCCACGTTACTTGTTACCACATTTCCACCTTCCTTCTCCCTTAATTAGACTACCGATTAATTTAATTTTAGATCCTGTCCGCGATTTTGCTGGATTTTTCCTTATTTCCTATCTATACCAACAATGGTTACTTGTCTGTACATTTTCTATACCTCACTGTGTTCAATGTTTTGTACAAGAATGTGATTCGTTGCATATGCATGTCTCACAGACGTGTCCCACAATGCCGAGAAGCAACATTTATTTATTTATTATCTAACTAGTTTGTCACTACCAAAATGCTCGTTAAAAGTTGATGTCAACCATTATGTCATTTAACCTGCTGATAATCTACCTAGTAGATCCGTCTACCCCGGAATATCTTGATCGGGGAGAGAGTGCCATTGCTTATATCAATCATCGCTGGGGCAACTTTGCAGCTATGATGTTCATTTAGTCAACAGCCGCATTCAGCTGTTGTTCGGTTGAGTGTACGTCAAGTTTTTGAGAACTCATCTTTATTTTGTTACCAGAGGCATTATACACAAACCCCGACGCACCAGCACCACATATGAGAGCTTTTGCAGACACTTGGTCTTCAATGTTGGCGCCGAAACCTATCACTGTCTGTGTTATCCCCGGGCACTTCAGTGAGGGTGATACCACATTTATTCGGATGCATGAGCTTACCAGCAAATCGGCTTTCCAAACCAGACATGCAATGCAGTTGTTGATTATCTTCCTAAATCATGCTCGGCTGATTTCCGCTCTAAAACTAGCCATACTCTTGTGAGATCATCATAAACGTACGCCCCCTAGTTTACGGTAAAACTCACTGAGGTTCACTGATTAATCACCGCCTAAAAACTGAAAGGCAACTAGAAGGCTGAACACAAAGCCTTGTAAGAGTTCAGGTAACGGCAAATTCTACTGACCTTATAGCTTTTAACAAGGAAGCGCCCTCTCGTGAGAATGAACATCACACTATCAAACCTCCAAATCGCCCACTGCCTTGTGAGTCAGGCTATTAATCCGAAGGCTCCGGGTGGAGTCCTTCAAGCAAACTACCGAAGCACAACGACCGCCTCGCGTACGATTGCTCACCAATGCAATCGTATGCCTGCGCGCAAAACACTCAGCATCGGGGGCTGGAACGTGCGCAAACTATTGGACCGGAAATCGAGTGAGCGCCAGGAAAGACGCACTGTACTCGTCGCGATGGGACTGGCGCGCTACCACATCGATATTTCAGTGCTCAATGAAACCCGGCTCGCTGAGAAAGGTAAGTTGCATGAAGCAGATGCTGGCTACACATTCTACTGGGTAAGCAACGCCGTATCAGCACCACGTGAACATGGGGTTGGATTTGCAATATCTGATCGCCTGAATGGCTAGCTGGTGGGTGAAGCAACAGGCATCAGCGCGCGAATGATGACTGTTAGCCTACGACTCGGAAGAGGTAAGTTTGCAACCTTTATAAACACGTACGGTCCGATAATTTATTATCCTGATGACACGCGTGATAAATTCTACACTTAGCCATCCTCTGTAACACGGTCTGTGCCGAGGAGCCACAAACGATTTCTGCTAGGTGATTTAAACGCATGCGTTGGGCGTGATTCATCGGTGTGGACAGATGTTATCGGTCCGCATGGCATTGGTTCTGCGAATGCGAAAGGTGACAGGCTGCTCTCGCCGCGTGCCACCCATGGCCTGACGATCACGAACACTCGGTTTGCACTGAGTGCGAGTTATATAGCAGCTTGGAAGCACCCACGGTGTGGTCACGCTCACCTGCTCGACTATGTCATTGTACGTCAGCGTGATATGCGTGAAGTACGCATGACACGTGCACTGCGTGGAGTTGAGTGTGGCACTGATCATAAATTGGTACGGACCAGTCTGTACATATATTTTCGTAAATCTATGTATTGCACTCTTGCTGTGAACCGGCGTAAATTTAACATTCCCTCCCCCGGTACTGGAGCGAAACGTGTTGTGATGGAGAAGGCCATGGATGCACGCCTGCGTAATGTGGATTGCATAGCCACAGTGGGCGACCTGTGGCACAACATTCGCGACCAGGTGACAGCTGCTGCCGTGGAGACCATCGGGCGCGCAAACTGTAAGCGTCCTGATTGGTTTGATGAGAACAATGCGACGATTGGCGCATTGGTGTCAGAGAATAATGTGGCATTTGCTGCGCATGTCGCAGACCCCAGTGACTTAGGGAAGAATAGTCAGTTTCACAAACTACGACGGCGACTGACACCAGAGCTCCGTCGCGTAAAAATTGCATGATGGGTAGTGAAGGCGAAGCAGTTGGAATGCTACCCCGAACGCAGCCAACACAAGAATTCTTTGACTCCTTGAAGGCGGTGTATGGACCGAAATTGGAGCCGTTGAGGACGCTGATCAATGGTAGTTCAGGCGCTACCTGCACACAGACTGCAGAAATAATGCAAATCTGCAGGAAAAGCTGACTGTCTTTTGAACAGCCGTTAATAGATCGACTGGTCTACACTGAACGGTCTCAAGCGGCACGGTGTGAAGACGAGTCTGGCGGATACGCCGACACTGGATGAGACGCAGAGAGCACTTGCTCAGCTGCGGAACGGCAAGTGTGCCAGTGCCGATGCGATCCCGCCTGAAGTATTGAAACACGGCGGACCCGCGTTGGTGACTGCGCTGCACCACTTGGTGTAACGTGTATGGATTGAGGAGGAGGTGCCTACTGAACTGAAGGATGTCCTTATGCTACCACTGTACAAGAGCAAAGGAAGCAAGCAATGTTGCACGAATTATCGTGGTATCAACTTGCTGCGTTGTGTGGGCAAGGTGATTGCCCGAATCCTGTTCAACCACCTCGTCAGTGACTTTATGGTACCTAAAGTGGCGGAAGAGCAGTGTGGATTCCGTCCGGGTCGCAGCACTAAAGATATGGTGTTTGCGGCTTGTCAGTTGCAAGAGAAGTGCAGAGAACGACACCAACCATTGTACTCGCTTTTTGTTGATTTCACCAAGGTATGTGATACGGTGAACCGCGAAGCGTTGTGGCTGGTGTTGGGTAAGTTTGGTTGCCCCCGTAAGTTTGTAAGTTTAATTGTATGTCTGCACAGTGGTATGCGAGCGAGGGTGCAGCTGAGTGGAGAGACCTCGGATGATTTTGCAGTTGTCTCTGATGTGAAACAAGGCTGTGTCTTAGCTGCCGCCCAGTTTAATATAGATCTTCATGCAATGATGTCCTATGCGTTTGATGCCGCTTGTGCGTACGGTGTTCGTGTGGAGCACCGTATTAATGGTGGGTTGCTGAACATCCGTCGTCTCGGTGCGAGAACCTAGTCTTTGAGACAACTATCCGTATGCTGCTGTTTGCTGACGACTGTGCGTTGTTTGCACACAGCGCGGATGAGTTGCAGCACATGACTAGTGCTCTGGCTTCGACAGCGGCCAAATTCGGGCTCACCATCAACACAAACAAAACTGTCTGTCTCTTTCAGCCTTCACCGGAGGTGCAATCTTCAATATTGCCGCGAATCAGCATTGGTGCTGAAGTACTGGAAACCACCTCCCGCTTCTGCTACCTTGGGAGTGTGATGTCGACTGATCAGCAGCTACACAGTGAGCTGCGTATCCGCGTGTCGAAGGCAGCGGCGCATTCGGGAAGCTTGAGTACCGAGTGTGGAACAACCATCAGCTTATCATTGGCACGAAGCTGATGGTGTACAAATCCATGGTGCTGTCCGTTCTTCTATACGGCAGTGAAACGTGGACGATGTACCGTCGGGATGTGCGATATCTCGAGCGGTTCCATCAGCAGTGTTTGAGACGGATTCTGCGCATCGGTTGGTGCGACAGCGTTGCGGACACGGAAGTGTTGCGTCGAAGCGGAATGTATGCAGTGGACTGCATACTCTTGCAGAGACACCTTAAGTGCCTCGGTCATATGAGCCGTATGGATTCGACGCGGATACCGAAACAACTCTTATACGGTCAGCTGAGTATTGGGAAGCCGCATGTGGGGAAACAAACATTACGTTGCCTGGACATGATCAAAGTGAGCTTCTCACGTTCTAATCATGGTTGCAGGTCATGGCAATCGAAGGCGATTGATCGGCGTGCATAGCGCGATTTGATCACGAAGGCAGTTACCGAAGTTTGGGAGATAGACCTCATACACGCAGAGAAGAAGCGGCAAGTGCGGAAGCGGCATGCACCTATGGGTTGTACTCCATCGACATAGAGTGCAGGGTGCTGTAGTACATCGGTCGCGAGTGCCTGAGTCATGCAGGCCTAGTGAGCGATGAGCGAGGCCACTCGGGACCACTACCGAATCGAAGACGGGTTCTGCAGAGAACGTAGGCAGAACCGGAGCAGCGTTTGTATGCACGCTGTATTCGATTTACTAACCGCGTGCTTGCACGCTAAGTCTATTTGTTTCACTTGGTGCTTTTTCAATTTTGTCCTAATGTTTTTCTTGCTCACATAAATACCTACCTATACTCTCTTCTGTAAACGCGCACACGTCGCTTAAGCCAATTGCAGTTAATTTCGATGAAATTTTCGTGTTTGTGGCATTTCCGTAAAACATACTTTCTGACCTCGTGAACTTATCTCGGATTCTTTTGCAAACATTTCATACGCTCATTGATTTAAGATTTATGCCACCGTTTACTTATGCCTCACTCGATTTGTTTTATTTGTTATCTTTCTCTAAAGTGATTGGCTGCTGCTTTATATCCCCGGTGTGGCTGCGCTTGATGTGCATGTTTGCAAGGTGTCTACCTGTCTATTACCCACTACCCCGTCCATACTGGCTCCAGGAGACAGTTGGACGTTGCTGGAGAGGACAGGTTGCACGGTCCTTGTGGCCGTGTTAGAATCAAAGAGTGGTTCCATGCATTCAGAGTGGAGCGGACTACGGTCCAGCTACCAAGTGTGTGCGCATGGTTCCCAAATACAGCGTGCTAGTGGTTGCCTGTGAAGGAAAGTGGGCCAAATCCGTTGATGAAACGTGGCTCCCATCCACATGCGTCCCGGACTTATTCCTTCGGGTTTACGCTGGATATGGGGGTGTGGTTGGAGCTGTGGGTGATGCAGCGCATGCCATCAATGGTCGCTTTGTAGCCGCGGGCGTACTATGGCTGGCACAGTGACAGGCAAATCAGAAACCGGATGCCACCAACCATGTTGAAACCATCTAAGTACGAACAAAAGGTTTATCCTTACTATCACCTAGACAAATTTGACAAAAAACAAAACAAGCTTACACATAGGAATTTGCTGTTTTTGTCGAATAACTCTCTTCAACAATAGAATATGTAATTCATATTTAAATAGGTTGTTGCTAGGAGCCTTTTTACGCAATCAGAACGGTGTTGACTTGCGGAGTGTATCAAAGCAGCTATGCTGTTAAACTCCAGTAATTAGCTTAGCTTCATAGGTGTGAATAAACTCCATTGTGTACTTCCCAACGACAAGCATGCTTTTTTCATCGTTAGTTCCACCCCAAAATTGCTTTACAGCAATTTAAATTTTACAGAAAAGTAAGGAGGTTGAACTATAATAATGATACTGGACCAGAAATTTGCTCACCAGTTGTCCTGAACTTGTGTAGCGATACCGTCGCCATGCCTTTGAAAGCTCTTTCCAAAGTTTGCGTATATTTTGATGCTATTTTAGAAATTGGAAGGCTTTGCAGGATAAGGACTGCGGCAAAGAAAAGGCCCTTGTATTTCCGACAGATTTTGTGTACCTGTGTTCGAGCGACCACGTGTGCCATGGAATGTCACAAACACTCCAGCTGAAGACGTATCTCAGTTTTCCTGTAAACCCTGGTGTAGAAGGATCCCGACTGCCCTATCCTGTGGTACCTCCATCACGTTCAATACTCCCCCGCTTGTGATTCCCTGCACCATTTACCCAACTTATCCTTGTCCCAAAAGCTTTGTTTCTCTAGTTCATTGCACATTAGGTTGCTGATATTGGATTAATTACGTTTATTGTATACTTTTAGAAGGTGGATAACCAACATTCAATCACATTGCAACTACTTTTCTTACTTCGGAACAAACCAATATCGTTTCACGTAGTAACGCCCGATTTGTTATCGGTGCACTTATAATGTTTCAACCTATCCACTGTGCTCACCACTGTTCACAGCCTGTGACTTGACAATATTATAATGTAATTCTGAGTGAAGGTTACGCAGTAAAATATTTGGTTCCATAGGCCCATTGTTTTGTTCCCCCTTGTAGAGATTTGACAAACAATGCCATTAATTGCGGATGAAAAAATCTTTTTGGTGTTCGCTTTAACGAAGATATTTTTAATGAGGAAAAGCGACAAGATATCTTTTTCTTTCGAGAGCTTGTAGCCGAATATTTGAAGTTTTCAGATTTAACACACAATGAGCTCCAGATGCTTGGGTTGCAGTAAAGTGGTACCTCCTGCGCAAAAGCTGTTGAGTGCATTTTGTGCGATGGATGGCTGCACATTGCCTGTTGTAATATCAAAGCACTGATGCACGAAAACCTTCAGCGGTCTACCTTCCCGGTTGTCAACTGCCTTTGTAACTCTTGTCGAGTCATACTGATGGAAATACATCTTGAAGTCGGTCTACCTCCGCACAGTTCACCTTGCGTTCCTTCCCATTCTCTGCTTCGTACAGCGGAAACAATCCAAGTCCCTCTTCTACGTCTACCCGCGTCTTTCCCAACTACTACTAAGGGAAAACGGTGTCCAGTCTCATCTGCTGCATCTCCGGAACCATTGAAGACGGTTGTGCAGCGTAGCCCATATGAGATAAAACGTATAACTAAATAAATAAATGGTTTATTCCTCGGTGATTCCAGGTGCAGTCCAACTATGTGGTCTGATCAATGTGTACAACAGGATAGCAAAAATAATCAATTTGTTCACGCATTTTACAATGGATCCAAAACAGGTGCTAAACTAATTGGCAGGATTAATGCATTAAAGAAATTAAAAACCAGGAGCAATAACGTATGCGGATTTAAACAGAAGTCCAGTTAAATTAATACGGCCACTCGTGAAACCATGCCCACGCGACCTGCTTCCATGCAAGGTATTACCTCGAAAGGTTTCGCCTGCACTTCCATGGAATAACTGGCTGTGTGCCGGTGTGGCATAGTAGCATATGAGCCATTAACTGTTTATCATATGTTCTTTTCTTTTTAGAGCTACTTTTGTACGTGTATTATGGGCCATGAAGCCTCAGCCCAGTCCGTCATGCGGATCATTCTATTATGGCACTTTTTATACGCCAGTCAGTTGGTAGC